TGTCGCTGCAGGTAGTCACAATGCAAATCACCAGCCATGCGTCGTTTCTTCTTGCCAGTACCATCTTTTGCCACTTTCAATAATAATGTGCGACGCTTCAGATCCTCGTGACGTTTAAGCAATTTACTGCTCAGCGTTACTTTGGTTCCGTCCACATTAACAAAATCATCATCTTCTACATTAACTTCTTTTTCCACTTCCTCTTCTGGCTCTTCGGGAATTGTTACATTTACTGGTGTGGAAGGACACTGTGTGCCAGTATAAAGAGGACATGCCTTGTTGGTACGCATATGGCCAACCTAAATAATAAAAAAAATAGTTTAAAATTTATTTTATAATCAGAAAATCTTATTGGTTTATACAATACCTGTCCACATGCTCCACATTTAAGTTTCAAATCTGGTTTCAGTTTGAATTTCTTTCGTGACGGACTAACTTCTTTATGACTTGTATCACGTTCTTTATGTGATGATCCACCAGATGATTTGGGGTCACCCAAAGATGTAGGCATACCACCAGGCTGTAACTTTTGATTTTGTGCTAATTGCGCTAAACGATCACGTTCCTGATTACGTTTAATACGTCGCAATTGCTCTTGAATACGTCGTTTTTCTCGTTTCATCTCTTCTTTTTGTTGTTCATCTAATGTGGCAAATTGTTTAATGAACTGCTCATCCTTTGTAGTGCGTATTTTTACATATGCATCTATGACAGGTGCGCGACGTACCAATTCAACTCGTGTATATTCTTTACCTTCTTGGTTTTTGAAAGTTCGAGTTATTTTCAAGATGCGACCTTGATTTGGATTTTGCACTGGTTGTTGGGAGTTTTCATCTTTACCATCCTTTGATTTACCACCTTTGGAATTACTGCTCTCCTGCTCTTCCATGAATTTTTTCAATAATTCTTGTCTTTCTTGCTCCTCACGTTCCATAGAAAGCTGGGTTGATGTTTTTTTATTTGACAACATATTTTCCAAGTTTTTACCAAGCTCTTCTAAATCTGATTCTTCAGATGCTGAGGATTCGGCTTCGTCAGTTGAAAGCACTTCTTCGCTAGCCAAAACACGATTTTGTAAATCAAATATACGTTGACATTCTTCTTTATAGCGTTCTTGATGTTCTGCTATTGAGAAACGATTACCACGTGAAAATTTATCCATGCCTTGTTCACCAGCTTTAGCCTTTTCAGTAGAAAGCGTACGCACGACATCAATTACTTCCCAACGAGAAAGTTTTTTGATTTCCTCTTCCGGAACTTTGAATTTACGTAGCAATTCTTTAGCTCGTTGTAGAGGCAAGCGACGTAAATCGGCATCGGTACCTGTGACAGTACGTTTTGGTTGAGACTCTTGTTCCTCTTTCGTTTGCTGCAATGTTAAAAAAACATATTTAGTATATCGTTTGGAAATTTAATTAGGTTAAAAAAATTACAGTGGGTTTATTTGGAACTCGAACATATGAAAAACCTTCTCCGCAACCTGTGGGATCTGCAGGACCAGTCAATTGTAACAAGCACTTTCCACGCATAGCTTGTATGTAAGCTCTACATGTATTTTTTTTTTACATATATATGTAAATATATTAAAGTTATTAATGTGTATAAAATAAGATGTAAAATATATATTACCGTGTTGTATTCCATGGTGCAACTTTAACTTCATCATCAAGTTTCATTTGCTCTTCCTCATCATCATCTTCTTGCGGTGCAAATAAAAATTTTTCACCATAACCAGCGTCCTGAGACGAATATAGTTTTAACCTGATTAGTCATTTTAATTTTAATTTGATAGATACCTTAAGTCTTTGTTCAGCTGCTATCATACTAAAATAAGCACAGCATTGTTCAGGTGATACCATAGCACGTATTTCCTCCTCTGACGGTAATCGGAATTCTGGTTTGATTACCCACCAATTTGAATCCATACCAGTACGTTTAAAATCAGCACATTGTTTAAGACGCTTACGAATGCTGCTCTCAGAATGTGCTGGAAAGGCACGTTTAATATCATCCATACGAATTCTACGCGGATTATCTGTACTTTTCCAAAATAATCTATATATAAACACCTGAAAGGAAGAAATGTGTAAATTTAACTTATTTGATTTATTTTTACATATACAAACCTGCAAAAAATCACGTGTGAAATTGTTTGCTCTCTTCGAATTTGGCCCTGGTACTTCAAATAATGGACATTCTTGTCCCACTGTAAATAATGCGTCGACAGATCGTATCCAATAATTATTTCGAGAACGTATTACTAAGAAATCAGTAGTATTGATTTTATGTGGGTATATCGGTGCACGGTACATATTGTTTTCGATAGTCTGTATACACTGTCCAGGATGTAGAATACCAAGAAAAGGACTTGTATGTGCAAAAGCCACTTCGCCATATTTAAAGTCTTTTGTACAATTATCCTTTGCTGCTTTACGTTTATAATAGTTTTTAATTTTCGAACACATGCCAACCTTTAAGTTAATTCGTCAAATTTATATAAAATAATATAAATAATTATATATATGTATATACTTGATTCATCAATGGTGGATGCTCTTCGCAAAATTCAGCTAAAATAATATCTCCATCTTTACCACTTAAATCCTCTGGATTACGCATAAAAAATACATCACCACCACCTGATGCAATTCTTTCCAACTCCCTTTGCTTCGCTTTTTTCGCAATGTTTTTAAGCAATGGTAGCACTTGATGTTGTATGGTTTGTGATAATACACCATGGGAATATTTCTTTAATGGTGGTCGATGGAAGGCACGTAGCTTCATTGGTCCCATATGTGTCTGTTTTATAAATATAAATAAAGAATAATTAATTTAAAGTCGTAGGTTTTTATAAGTTCTATAATACTTTTAAGAATTATGAATGATTTATTTTATAAAAATATTAAAATAAATTTTAGTTTTAATTCAACTTACGGGTATAAAAGGAGCACGTAATTCTACTACTGGTGTTGAATGCTGTATTAAATTACCGCCTCCAGCTTTAAGGCGGAAAGTCGGTTCAGTCTTCGGCATATAATATCTGAGTGAAACAATAAATAATATAAATTGACTCAAAATATAATTATATATAACTCTAATTATTATGGATTATTAAAATTATTAATTGATTTATTTTAAAAATTATTTATTATTGATCAATGCAAAAAAAATTATTATTGATCAATGCAAATATGAAACACATATTTACATGTTTGACTCTACTTAAATGCAATATAGTCTTTTAAATTTACTATTTTTTTCTGTTAATTAGTAATGCCAATTATTTGAAAAAATTATTAAAACTATTTCAAATAAAAGCAAAAACTGATTTTAATGTGTTATTTTTGTAAAACCATAACGATATTATAGAATCAATCAACTTACGAATCATTTGATATGTTAAATGGATCGCGATCAGGACTTTTTGGTGGTGGAGGTGGTGTATCTTCTGCTAATACATTAATTACACCAGCTTTTCCAAGTAAAATTTTTGATTTTTTAACGTGTGGATGTGGTATTTTAATTTTCGGTGGTGGCCCAGTATTTTTATTAATTTTAGATGGATCAATATCATCTGGTATACCTAATATTATGTTCTCATCATTAGGATCGAGTGTTAAAACTTTTGGTTTAGGCATTTTTTGCATATTTGCAGAATCCCATATTATTTCATCTTCCCATTTTGTGTAAATTAATTCCTCATTTTCAACAGGAAATATGCTATACCAAGTGTCATCAATAGATTCAACAGGTTTCGGCTGTATACTGTAATAAAAATATTGGAAATATAAATCTCATATATAAATTTTAAAATTAAAAATTTATTACATTTGATTTGCTTTTTGCTTGCTACTTGATCCAGAACCGCCAGACATTTTTCCACCTGGGGTACCAGAAGCTGGCATTGTTTTACCAGGCTGACTGAATGCACCGGCAGTACGTGAACCGCTTGATGGTAACCAACCAGCAGCATTAGTTTTTGAATTTAATTTTTGTAAAACTTTTGCTTTTATATCGTTTCCATCCCAAACCACATCATCTTCCCAATGTAACTGTGATAACATTAAGAATGCATCATCAGGAAGAGCGTTTTCAGTTTCAAGATTGTCATGAGATGAAATCTCCAAATCATTTTGACTTTTTTTAGATTCAGCTAAAGATTTTACTTTAAAGCCATAGTTAAATCCTTCTCCAGAATCAGGCACTTCAAGCATATCATACCAAATCTGTGCTGGTCCATAACGCCAATCAGCAATTTTTGGTTTATTTTCATTACTTTCACCATTTTCTAAGTCTTCTTGTTTTTCACCTTCATCGTTTAATTCGCTTAACAGTTTGTCTTCATCATCGGACCTACATTGATCCGGTGTAGGTTCAGGTCCATAAAAAACACCAAAACCCTTTTTCTTGGGCTCTTCAGAATCACTTGTTGAGTCTGAACCACCATTTACATTCTAAAAATATTTTTTAACATTAAATAAAGCTATTAATAACAACTTTTTCATTTACCTTGTGATCTCTTGATTGTTTCCGCTTGCGTCTTCTTTTTTTCACGTGGCGCCAAATTTGTGGTAAACTAGATGGTTTACCTGGACCAAAAAGACGTGAGAAACGCAGCACTTTATCTGGACGAAAATCAGGGAATAGTTCTCTTACATCTACGTTAGCATATTTCGATGGTAGCATATCTGCTAATGGAGTATCAAGCTTGCGCTCCATTACTGTTAACAATTTTTTAAAGAATAACGATTAATACAGATTTTTTTTAAATATTAGATCTAAAATAATTCACTCAAATTGTTGGTGATATATTATATTTACTTACGCTTTTGAGATTTATCTAGTTCTGATGCAGTATCGTTACTTTCATTTTTTTGATTTGTGTCATCATTAGATGTACTACCACTTCGTGTAGGTAGACTGGGTGGTGGCATTAGTTCTTTATCATCTTTTTTTAAATCTAAAGAAATATTAACTTTAAGAGTTGCTTAAAAAAAAATTGTATATAATTTGTGACTTACGACTAGCTTCTACTTTATTAGCTGGTATTGCATCCTCAAGATCCTCTCCAGATATTGTGTGTACTGCCGTCACCGGTGATCTTGAGCAATCCTCAGAAAACTCCTCAATATCAAAAAAATCAACCGCATCCTCATCTTTACCACCGTCGTAGTCATCGTCTTCAGTTGGGGACACACCAGACTTCAATGCATCAAAATCACTTAGTTTCTCATCTTCAGCTAACATTGAGGTTATAACAGAACTTATGTGGCTAAACCTGACAAAGTTTTGTTTATTACTTGAGCTTTGTAAAAAATTTTGATTTATATATTCACTTACTTAGATAATGAATGCAAGTTTTGTTTAAGTTCTAAGTTATCATCGAATTCTTCATCTTGCAGTTTGCCATCATCATCAATATTTCCAAACAATATGCCGGTTAAGTTAATTCCTGTTTCCTCAGGCATATCATCGTCATCCGAATCCATTGTTATACTTTATTTAGTTACCAAATCTTATGAAATGCCTGCAATAAGACGTTTAACTTTTTAATAAACAAAATTTTCTTTCACTCAGAATATAAATGTTAAAATTTTTTCAATGTAATATTTTCTCTCAGATTTATTGGTTGAATACAGTGTTGCATTAACACAAATTATATAAGGTATTATATACAGAAAAACTCAAAAACTCAAACTTCAGCAAAACAAGTTCACGAATTCAATGAAGAGTAAACATATTAGTAATATATATAGGCTCTTTATGATCTTACTTTAAGATGCTATATGTGTTAAATTTTCAGTTTATATTTGAAATTTGTTTTCAAAAACAATTTTTCTTATTAATTAACGATCTATTTGCAGCACTTGTTAATATATGTATAACTAAAAAAATTTTTTATCATATAATAAAGTAGATATTATTTTAATTGAAATTTATGGATCATAGCTTACTGACATTTAGTAAATATTTTAGACTATCGTTTATGTAACTTTCTCACTTCGTTTTCTCTAACGATTTTTCTGACTTTTGACAAACACTTCGAGTAACTATAAGTCAAAAGTTAGAAAATCGTTCGAGAAAACTAAGTTAGCAAGTTACATAAACGAACCGCATATAAAGGCAAAATTATGGCTAATGATCTTAAACTTATAATAATCTAAATTTTTACGTTTGCACCGAAAATTAAATATATCTAACATGATAAATAAAGATCGTGAAGTGATGTAATATATTATGACATGGTAGTAAATTAGTATTGCCAAAAATATATTTTAAACTTTTGTAAGAAACTGCAAATATATGAAAACTAAATACGTAAAGAAATTTTACGAATAACTTATTTATTTACATTAAAAATGCTAAGATCTAACAGTTAAAAGGTAAGACGCAGTATTAATATACTATTATGTCTATTCTATGAGCTACTCGTAATGACTTTGAGTGACACTGTGAATACACAAGTGCGTTCCACAAATTTTCGAGTAAATGAGAGCATCTAAGAGAGCGTAACATCCCTGTTGAAATTTGAAAATGCTGCACAGATTTCACTCGTACATTTAATTTCAAGTGAAATTTGTGTTGATGTGTGAATCAGCAGTTTTGGTTTAAATTTCAATTTTTGTATTGTTTATTTGCTGTTCCATGAAAATCTGTGTAAGAGCGTAATTTGGCAATTTATTTGTGTTACGCTCTCAATTTGATTTTTATGTGTGTTTTGAGTTTTACTACGAGTATCTTGTGGAACAGACTTATTATATGCATATGAAAACAGAAACATATGTGTTATCATGATAATTTCATTCTCATCTTTTATTTTGTTCATAAAAATTGATTTTAAATTTTAAGCAAAAAAAAAAAATATAATCCGAACTATTCAAAAAAATGAGAATATCAAAGAAGCTCTTTTATATTTATATTTAACTTTAATGTAGTTTATAGAACTTATTAAATTTAATATTTAATAATAATAATAATAATAAATATTATTACATAATAATATTATTAAATATATTCATAACTACATGAAAATATTGAAATAGCTTTACAGAATGGTTTTTAAATAGTTGTTACATTTGTGTTGGGATTTTATTTAAAATTCATTAATATCTTTACTTAATCGAGTAATTTATATAATATGAAACAAAAAAAAAATCGCAAGCGTAAATTTTAATGCTTTAATGTAATTTCAAACAATGACAGTTTTTAATGTATTTTGTTGTTGGATTGGTTAATTGTTTACAACACAAAATTGTTAAAAGAGCACCAAATAAAGACTATTCGATATAGAATAAACCTATTCGACTTATTACGCTAACACAAAATACACAGAGAGTTGATACACATTTCTATCTTTACAGTGGTTATGGTAACTCCACTCTGCATATGTGTACAGCGGCTAAAATGCACATTTCGACATATGTCAAATTTCAAAAAAAAATTTCGTTTGATTTGCTTTTGTTTGGCTTTGGAAATGTTTTGAAGTATTAATTTTTAAATGTAAAATACAAAAATGAGTATTTATGACTTTGCTAAACGATTTAAAACTTTAGAGAAACGGGAATGTACATTAGAACAAATGGAAACAAAAATAGTATTGGCGAATAAGAAATACACAGAAGACAAAAGTATGTAAACAATATAAAATTTATAATGCTAACAATATTTGAAACTTTCTGAATTTTAGATCAGCTTAAAACTTACATTATAAAACAAAAGAAACAAATAGAATTGCTCCGACTGGAAATAAATAAAATGCAAAAAGCAGTTCAAAAGTTACATACTTTTTTGCGAACGAAAACAAATGATTTACAACAGCTTCAAGCAGGTACCAAAAAAAGAATCGCTGATGCCGAGTTACAAAGAGCAGAAAAGGCTGCACAAAAAAGTATTACAATAAAACAATTAAATATGTAAGTTGATTAATAACTTCATAAATATATCTTTATTAAAAACTATAATATATTTATTATTTACAGTTTGCAAAAATATATTAACGCCACTAGAATTTTTATTAATACACAAGTATTGCCAGATTTTATACAAGGATTTACAATACATGAGACACACAATCACTCGGAGTGGAAGCCTTTTCGCATTAAAACAGCTTGTCATACTCAAGAAGAAGTGCAATTTCTTATATGGAGTAGACAAGACGGGTCACTATATGACAATGAATGGAAAGACTTAATATATAATAATTATTCACAAGGTAATAGGACCATATCTATGGACGAAACATGATATGGAATAAAGGTTGTGTTTTAAATTTATTGAAATGTGCAATTTGATAAATATTAGGAATTTGTGTTGTACGTTTCATGTATATTTGTATTAATTATAATTATTTGGAATTAAATTAAGTAAATGGAAATAAATGTTTTATATGAAGACCCAGTAACTAAAGGCCTCAAAGGCTGAAGATGTGAACTGAACAAACTAATATTTTCCAAGGACGATTATGCTATATTATAATATCAAATAGAAATAAAGATTAAATTAAAAACTGATTATTTGTAATGTCTTAAAACGTATTGTTTTGGTATTTATATGTTTGTTGAGTTTTTCTCAGAATTGTTGAGTTTTTTTGAGAATTGTTTAACAAAAATAATGTTTGCTTTTAGTTATGCATTACACAAATCTTACTAATTATTAGAAATTTTTCTAAATTAATCCTCTTAGAAGCACAAACATTTTGTTGAGTACACTTAATGAACACAGAAGTAAGTTCATATAGTGAGCTAGTAATAAAATCACATTATAAAATAATTAGTGATATAGAATATGTCATTCATAAATGATTGTATTAGCTACAATAAATTGTAGACAATGAAATTAAACGATAGTGAGGAGAAGCGATAGAAAGTCGTAAATTCCATAACATCAATCATATTGGTTGTAAATACTATTTTAGATTTAGTTAAACTGGCTAAAATGCACGTACGGAATATTTTAAAGTGGAAGACTAAATATGACACCAAAGTACTGTCTAGAATCAGGCAAGAACTTAGCAAGTATTAATATTGTTAGCCACTTAAGCCTAAAACAATGGAAGTAGTGATGGGACATGAATATGCAATATGACACAAAAGTACTGTCTAGTGTCAGACAAGAGTTTAGCAAGTGATTGACCTTGTTAGCCACTTAAGTCTAAAACAATCGAAGTACTGATGCGACATGAATAGAAAGGGCATCTTTCATCAACAATTGTCTTAGTTGTAGCTTAGAGAAGGAAGATAAAAGTGTTACTAATGTGCTGTAGTTAACTGGCACTTGCCACACGACGAATATCTATACTGAGGTCTCAAATATCTCCGATATCAGTAATAAAGTCATTGGATAATTTATTAAGACGACAAAGTTTTTGTTTTTTTGGAGAGAAATAGCTGCATCTTTTAGAAGATAGCAAATGTGGTAATGACTAAAATAAAAATAAAATATTAAGAACCTTTAAATGATTTTTTTATAACTGTAAATAAAATTTTTATAAATAATGTTTACATATACATATACTTAGAAAATAAGTTATTAGCAAAATAATAAAACAGTGTGTCTTACCTAAAGGTTCACGATATTCTATATCTTCGCATTTACTCATAAGAGCCCCTATTATAATTTTTTAATTGAATTTATTTATTGTATTAAAGGTAAGTAAAAAGCTAATTCAAAATTCTTACGAAAACATTTAAATGAGAAATATTCAATATACCAGATATATTGATAATATATTGATATATTGATAACATGGTGCAAAATATTTTAGAAGAGGATTTGAGCTCTAAAACAGTCTTGTATACGCCGCTGACCTAAATCACTTTCGGGAGTATAGTGAAAAAATAAGACTATATTACGAGATTTAAACTTGACTTCGATTTTTCATATCATCCGTATAAAAAAAAATGGTAACGCAATTTTGTATTGCGTAAAAAAAAACATTAGTTAAGATATTAAAATTAAATATTTTACAATAATACAGCGATATTAATAAAATATTTCATATCAAAGAGATTAAACATGATAAAATAATAATATATTTTATAGATAAAGTTTGGTAAACAAAACACTCAATACGTGGCTTTGAAAACCTTTTATTATGTAATAATATTTACTCTTAGTTTGTTATTGCCAACATAAAAACGTCGTTATTTACTGGAGTAAAAATAGTAGAAAATAATTGACATTCAATGAATTTAACTTTCATTTGACATAGTCAAATGTCTT